AAGATCAAGTGTAGTATCTGTTCTTATCAGCTTAATATCTGATACATCCTCTATCCGGGGACTATATATTAAATAGATTTTTGGTGTTGGGAGATGGAGTAGGAGCTTGCTCCGTCCACTCCACACATCGACCTGGTATTGCAGTGTCTCCAGGAACGGTGCAACCCCTTCTGGGGAAATAATGATTGTTAAAATTAGATCTTTGCATTGGGAACCATTATTGTGATTCAGATTCATTGAAGTTGGGACAATTATAGCGAAGTCTTATTTTAAAATTAAGACAATATACGTGTGTTGGTCGCGAAACACTAGCACTGTGGTATGGGATGATGCAAATATGATTTAGTGCAAGTTGTTCCTTCAATAGCCAATTTATAGAAATTGGTGTAGTAAAAAGTGCTCAATTTGTATTTTGTTAGAGCAGTACATCTATTAAGAAGATCGTATGTCGGTTTTAAAGTGTCATCTATGTTGGCCGAGAAACAGCACTGTGAGTTGTGCTGATGGCTGTTTGCATTGTCCTGTATGACAAGATCAAAGCCAATTAGAAGAAAACTGAGAAGTGCTCAAAAGTTGGATTTTTGAGACATGGATATTTTTCTTACAAAAACACAGATTCGCTACAGGAGGCCTTTAATAGCGTTTTAATATGGATGGATGCGCTTTGACTACTTTTGGACTGTTAAATAAAAACACCCGTTCCCTGCCATTATAAAGCTTGGAAGAGCAAGGACAATTTTTTTTATATAACTCCGATTGTATTCGTCTGAAAGAAGGAAGTCATATACACCTAGGATGCCTCAAGGGTGAGTAAAACATGGACTAATGTTCATTTTTGGGTGAACTAACCCTTTAAGTATACCTCTAGTAGTCCACTTTAACACAACATGTGTCGGCCGAGAAATAGCACTGCGAAATGAATACGATATGGTTTAGTTTGCATCATGTCATGCCCATTTTAAAGGCCAATTAAACAAAATTGTTGCTGTGAAATGGGCTGATGGTGCAATATGGCTCGGTTTGCATTATCACACACGCCAAACTCAAAGGCCGATTTTAAAATATTGGAAAATTTACCCTTTTCACAAGGCTGTGATGACGTGTTTCAATGGTCATCAGCATCGTAAATCCTTAAGGGGGGGGGGGGTCTAATACTATTGCATGTATGGTAAGTAATTTACACTGGTAAAGAGTTGGATTCTCATGCTAAACATGACCAAAGTTTCGGAAAGTTTTTTTCAAGCAAGCCCACGCATACATCCCAAAAGCATTTATATTTATTATCTGCATTTTATACATATCATTTATTTACTAATTCTTTCACTTTTTTTGAAAATTGCCTTTCATGCCGTGTGTAACACAGCTCTAAGTGAATGAAAACATCCCGCAAAGTTTTAAATCTGAAAGTGCACCGTGCATGAAGTTATTGTCTCTCAAAAGAAAGAGTCGACTCTGAATCATTTAAACGAGTCGTTTTTTAAACGAATCCCAAACCGTTTCATGTTGACGTCAACATGAAACATTAGCATGTTGTGAGCCCAGACCTGGGAAAACTTGATTTTCGTGTTGGTCTGAATGAAAATGCAAATTCATTCTTTGCCTCTAGGTGCCGCTTTTGGAGCATAGCGTTTTCCCCCGGTAACGGCTGTACACAAAGCAGCACTGCGCTCACAAACGCTGATTTATCAGGCATTACAGGCAAGATGAAATGAAAATTAGATCAATCAATGCAGATTAGCATCACGCAAAGGAGGGGTCTGGAAAAATTAATCGTTTGGGAGTAGCAGGGGCACATTAATGCACGAGCTTCAAGGGGCTGAAGCCCAGGGGCCTACACTGGAAAGCGGGCCAACTGGCTTCAGGGAAATTATATATATTTTTTTTATTATTTATATGAGATGTGTATATATGTCAGGGCCATGTAGTTTTGGATTTTGTTTTCCCTTAATAATAAAAACCTTCATTTAAAAACTGCAGTATGTGTGTGTGTGTATATACATATATGTGTGTGTCAGTGTGTGTGTACGTATGTACATACGCACGCACGCACACACACACGGGGAAGTCGTGGCCTAATGGTCAGAGTCAGACTCATAACCCAAAGGTTGTGGGTTCGAGTCTCGTACCAGCAGGGATTGTAGGTGGGGGGAGTGAATGTACAGCACTCTCTTTACCTTCAATACCACGACTGAGGTGCCCTTGAGCAAGGCACCGAACCCCCAACTGCAACAAATGGCTGCTCCGGGTGTGTGTGTGTGTTCACTGCTGTGTGTGTGCACTTTGGATGGGTAAATGCAGAGCACTAATTCCTAGTATGGGTCACCATACTTGGCCACGTCACGTCACTTTATATATGTGTGTATATATATATATATGTGTGCGTGTGGTGTGAATATAATGTAGTGCTAACTTAAAACTGGTGGTAAAAAATGTTCTTTATTTGGACTGAACAGGATAAAACGTTAATCATTACAGACACAACAACGAGCTTTATCTTAAAAAATGAGTTCACAAATAAAGTGGCCTGCTGGGTTAAAGATAAATGATTGATGTTAATTATCAAACATCAGACAAACTGAAGCTGCTGCACTGTAAAGGAGACTGATCACAGTCAAGCGTTGTGATTTAATACAGTAAGTTGAACATAAAACTGAATTAAGTGATGGTTTTATGCTGCTGGTGTGTTCAGGATGTTCTTCACAGGTTCTTGAGGTTGTCTTGACCCTCAGGTTTCTCCAGCCAGTGAGGAGGCCAGCTGGCTTTAATACTGGGACGGTCCTTTAGCATCTTGTAGTACTCCATCAGTCTGGGACAACGCTCCGGAGGACAGCTGAAACCAGATCAAACATTAAACCAGCCTCATGAACCTTCACCTGACAGCATCAATCATTAACCCTCATAATGCATTCAAGATCTGATACTGCTTTCAAACTCAAAGAATCATTATTTTATAAACCACTCATGACAATATTTTTCAAATAAAACCATACTGTATCTGATCAGCAACTTCTCATTAATGAGAGAATGTGGGGGGTTACTATGTTATTACTGCACTTACCTCTAAAAAATACAAATTACACTTGAACCAGACCAAAATATCTATGATAAAAAAAAAGTTTAAATATTTTCAATATTGACGAGAAATTTTATTTGAATATATCACTGTATGAAATTTACAAAAGCATATAACCTGAGAATTATCAGTATTAATCCCAATGGAACAAATAGATTTCATTAGATTTCATTTGAATTTATAACTCAGGATTGCTCAAAAACAGTCCAAATTTAAACCTACATATTTATTTCTTACAAAGCAACAATTATAACTCTATACTATATAAGAGTTTTTAATCAAAATAAATTAATTTCACTTGCAAAAACTCACTTTCAGATAATTATTTTTTCATGCTGTAATGGTGTCGATAAACATACGTATTCATATTTATCAGCAAAATTCAGTCCCAAAAGTGTGCGATATGGGGGAAAAAAATATATAGAATATATTATATTAATTTATTATAAACAAATAAATGATTTATATTTTGAAGGTCTTAAAGCATTTGCAAATTTTTACTAATTTTTTTTTGTTAATGCATCTCTTCCATGTAAAAACTGACCTGAATGTGTTATGAGGGTTCAAACACGCAGTCATTAAAAAAAACACTTTATATCCAGAGCGATTCACTCACTGAAGTCGCGGGAAAAACGCGATGACGGGGAAACAAACCACATCAGCCATAGTGAAGTTCTTGCCAGCGAGGTACGAGCCTTTACCCATCTATGAACAAACACTCATCGTTAGAGAAGCTCATTATCATGCCCTCAAATACAGTAACAGCATCTCCTCTACTAATGAAGAATTGCTGCAATCAACACGTGCATTCATAATCCATTACGCTGTTGTAACGCGCTTCATTTCAGAAAGAAATTTAAAAGTCATGGAGGCCAAAGTTCAAGTTCTCCCTCCATAACTCTAATCATTTTATTGCATGAACTAATGATAAGACATTAGGTTGCAATTAATTGCAAGAGCCGCCTAAAACAATGACTATCATTACATTTAGATGAAAAGAATAACTGATGAATCATTCACAATGAGACCAGCAATCTGACATCATAAATGCATGATTTATACTATAAATAAATATCAATAAAATCTGACCTTCTCCAAGTATCCATCCCACAGTTTGAGCTCGGCGATTAAACTCTCTTTATTCCTCTTCAGAGCCGATTCATGCCTCTCTCCTTCAGGAACGTACCATTCGTAGAAAGCCACGTCATCTGAACAAAAAACAGTGCATATGTTCGATCCATCAGGCTTTTACGACTCGTATAGTCTGATACAGTGAGAATATGGAGAACAAAACAGCTCAGTTTTATTCAGAGACTCAAAAATATTTGTATATATGCTGATATTTATATGATGAAATTCTGATGCTTGTGATGTAAATTAATGAGATGTTTCTAACAGTAGAGCAGATACTGACATAAAATGATCTAAATATCAGCGGTCGCTCTATATCTGCAGTAACATGTCTCACAATATCTGATACTGCTTTCAAACTCAAAGAATCATTATTTTATAAACCACTCATGACATAACGCATCTGACCAACAACTTTTCATTAATGAGAAGATAAAAAAAAAAGAAAAACGCTTTATATCCAGAGCGATTCACTCACTGAAGTCGCGGGAAAAACGCGATGACGGGGAAACAAACCACATCAGCCATAGTGAAGTTCTTGCCAGCGAGGTACGAGCCTTTACCCATCTATGAACAAACACTCATCGTTAGAGAAGCTCATTATCATGCCCTCAAATACAGTAACAGCATCTCCTCTACTAATGAAGAATTGCTGCAATCAACACGTGCATTCATAATCCATTACGCTGTTGTAACGCCATTCATTTCAGAAAGAAATTTAAAAGTCATGGAGGCCAAAGTTCAAGTTCTCCCTCCATAACTCTAATCATTTTATTGCATGAACTAATGATAAGACATTAGGTTGCAATTAATTGCAAGAGCCGCCTAAAACAATGACTATCATTACATTTAGATGAAAAGAATAACTGATGAATCATTCACAATGAGACCAGCAATCTGACATCATAAATGCATGATTTATACTATAAATAAATATCAATAAAATCTGACCTTCTCCAAGTATCCATCCCACAGTTTGAGCTCTGCGATTAAACTCTCTTTATTCCTCTTCAGAGCCGATTCATGCCTCTCTCCTTCAGGAACGTACCATTCGTAGAAAGCCACGTCATCTGAACAAAAACAGTGCATATGTGTTTATAATATTTGATCTATCAGGCTTTTATGGTTCATATAGCCTGATATGGTGAGAATATGGAGGAAAAACAGCTCGGTTTTATTCAGACTCAAAAATATGCAATTTGCTGCAGATGCTATTCTTGATTGTGATGTAAATCAATGAGATCTTTTTACCAGCATATCAGATACTGTCATAAAATGACAAATTAGTAATTACTTTTTTTAACATTTTAATTGGATTACATTACTGATTACTGCATTTAAAATATAATCAGATTACTAATTACTTTCAAGTTCACTTTACTTTTCCAAATTATTAAACAAAACAAAACAAAAAAACACTACAAAATGAAACTCATAGTTCTTTCATGATTTTAATATAGACTGAAAAATGACATTGAACGATCACTTGCATTTCTCCTGATAACAGCAAAAAGAACTTAAAATGTTTCATTATTTTTGATTGTACAGATAATAGCAATAAAAAAATTTTTAACTGTAAAAGGTATGCACTCGCAATATGAACAAAACTTTGTGCTTTTGTAAAATAAAGAAAACAAACAGGGTGCACTTTCTGCCATCTCGGTCTCCGTGAATATTCTTCTGAAACGTGCCATAAAAATAAACGAATCAGCGAATACTTGACACACAGACATGAGAATTATCTAAAGAAAGCTTGAAGTGTCTGTTTTTACATTAAGTCAGTCCACCTTGAATTTACCTCAGAAGAAGAAAGCGCGGCTTGACTCAGCGGAGGATCTCTGAAGAGTTATTTATTTTTACTTATATTAGTGTTATTGTGACAAAAACTTGTACACATTGAACTTTTCCCAAACTATAATGCCAGACTAAAATATGTATAATCGAGTGCAACATTTTAAAATACGATTGCATTCATTGCATTTAAATGTTGTACGACTCATCGGCATTTTAGCTCACATTCTCTGGTGATTTATTAAAGGCCATACTGACGCGCAAAACGATGTATACTTCATATTTTTTCTTAACACTGCATTTGTAACATAAGTAACGTAATTTTATTGACATTCGTAACTGTAATCAAATTACTTAAATTCAAAATGTAATGCATTACATTACTGCGTTGCCAGGAAAAGTAATTAGAATACAGTGACTGTGTAACGAGTTATACCCAACTCTAGTCGTCACATTATATCTCCAATATTATGTCTCAGTAAAATGAGATTGAAATGCTCCAAACATATAATGCAGTGATTGAGAGCTGAAGAAATAAAGGCTCCTCAGAAGATGTGAGATGTTCTGGAGGCTTGTGAAGATCATTCCTCCGCTGAGGAACAGTGAAAGTAAAGCTTCTGGAAACAAACGCTCCTCAAAAGATCCTGAGGATCAGATTTGAGACTCTAAAACATGATTGATGGAGAATCAAGTAAAGCTGAGCTGCTTCAGTCCAGTAAGTGTTCATCTGGAGATATTACTGCAGTTATTCTGACGCTTACTTGATCAAAATCAGTCAAGATTTGACACGAGAAGCAGCAGCTGAAGCTGGACGTTTGCATGTTTTTAGAGCTGAAGTGTGTTGACTGTTGAGGGCACTTACACATTTTCTGCTGCAGGTTGTTGGTCTCAAACACTCGCTGGTAGACGAGCGCTTGTTCAGCCGGGTCGTCTGGGATCAGACGGGTGCCTTGAGACTTAAACGCGCTCTAGAAACCAAAAACACACCCATTATACCACAGGAACCAGTTGAGTCCTCTGCACAATCTGACTTTGCTGCAGCCTGGAATTGAACTGCTGGTCTCGTCTGGTCAGAGGAGAACTGGCCTCCGACTGAGCCTGGTTTCTTCCAAGGTTTTTTCTCCATTCTGTCACCGATGGAGTTTTGGTTCCTTGCCGCTGTCGCCTCTGGCTTGCTTAGTTGGGGACACTTCATTTCCAGCGATATCGTGGACTTGATTGCACAGATACTATTTAAACTGAACTGAATTCAATAATGAACTGCCTTTAACAGTAGTTTAGAGTGTTTCTCCAGTAAAGCTCTTTCAGTGTAACAGCTTCAGCTGGAGCTTCTCGTGTCAGATCTGGACTGCTTTTGATCAAGTAAAGGTCAGAATAAGTGCAGTAATATCTCCAGATGAACACTTACTGCACTGAAGCAGCTCAGCTTTACTTGATTCTCCATCAATCATGTTTTAGAGTCTCAAATCTGATCCTCAGGATCTTTTGAGGAGCGTTTGTTTCCAGAAGCTTTACTTTCACTGTTCCTCAGCGGAGGAATGATCTTCACAAGCCTCCAGAACATCTCACATCTTCTGAGGAGCCTTTATTTCTTCAGCTCTCAATCACTGCATTATATGTTTGGAGCATTTCACTCTCATCT